TCGGCTTGAAGGACCTATAGGAAATCAAAAGAAGTGTTGGCCAATGGGTGTGCGTTGGACTCTTAGTGCCATTCATTAACTCAGACTAGACATTTTACCTGATTAGCTTCCCGTATTCCGAGTTCAAACGAGTTGATAACTTCTAGCACATACACACTTCACTGTTAGAATCTCACAATATCGTCTGCTGTCCGGAACATCGATAATTGAGACAGTGGCTACAAGACTGAACTGAGGCCCGCCATGAAGGGGCGAAATAACCACGACATACACCGTTGACTACTTATTCATGGCGGCATGAGCGTCAGCGCACTTAAACAGACCCTTTTGTTCCTAATATTGGCTCTGGACCAGAGAAGACCCTGAAAACCCACACATCTTAGTTATACATCAGATCACAGTGTCACCCCTGTCTTCAGGGATGATGAAGCTCCACTGTAAAAGTAGCCAACCGGTAAGAATGACTAAAATAGTCCTCCTGAACAGAACATGAGACCAGGAACCGCTCGCAATACAGGTATCTTTGCTCCAAACTTCACGGAAGACAGAGTTTGGTTTATGGTCATGGTTAGAGGTAATAGTCTATTATAAATAACACCACGGAAACATGAAACTCCAAAACTATGTAATGCGGGACCGGTAATAAACGTAATTTAATTTTTAATTTTAAATAAGTTCCAATTATCGCGAGATTTTTCTTAGCTATATATTAACGTTTTATAATAATCTTAGCTAGTATTTCCTGTGTTTGTGTTCTATATTTCTTTTGATTTCTTTGCTGTGTCCCCTTAATGCTTTACCCCTATTACCACCGTCCCGTATCACATAATTCTGGAGTTTTAGTTTCCGTTGTATAACATATAATAGACTGTTACCAGGTTATGTTTAAAGTTAACGTTAAGTTTGGAGTTAGTATTAACTGTAGGGTTAGGGCTAATGCTAATGTTAGGACATGGGAGTATGTAACCTTCCTGGAATTATGCACAGGACCAGCTATATTACTTGGGCGGGACGTTCCTACTTCAATTTCCTCTTATGGGGGGGTATGTAAGTAACTCTTACAAAAACAGCAGCCTAGACCACCTCACTCAACATATGCGCAAGTAGCCACTTGTTGTTCCGCCGAATTAACACGCTAGAAAAAAGGGTGTCGTGAGAGTACTATCCAAAGAGAAAGATGTCATGACCGTGTTTGGATTAAGAAACTCAGCTAGGTAAGCAATTGTCTGATCAGTGGTCTAAGGTGGCTAGAATATGAGTAAAAGGTCTACCAGTTGGTAAGCATATTTTGAATTTAAACGCATAAGTAAGCTAGGCAGAACTTTAAAGAATCCTATCTCCAGAGTGAAAGTCCCATTCATGACGAACACTGCGCTAAAACTAGGCATTCGACCTAAAACTACGGCTCTCTGCTCAAGAAACTGATATAAAATCAAAAGGCAACTAGGCCGTGCAGGGAAAAAAAGAAGTTATACTCACGCATTTTACACCATCCAGAAGCTTTGCCATCTCGTTGGCGATCTGCTTCACCGCGCTGGTTGCATTCTGACGCGCCTCCTTGCTGACGTCCTGTTGACGGGCCAGACCCTGCAAGACAACCCAGGAGCATACATTAAACGTCGATCGGTCAAACGGCCGTGCTGTTGCGTGGTCCTATATTTATGGTTGAAACAGCAGCCGCTCGAGGTCAGTGATTGGGCGGCTGGTGCCCCGCGAACCAATTAGCACTGATGAAAGCTCACCACTTGCGCATGCGAACCGGGCGCGCCAAAACGGTGACGTCAACAGTAGCCACAGTAG